GATTATTCATGAATCTGACCCAGAGAGTTTAAGGAAGGCATCATTGTTATCAGCAACCAATATAATAAATTAGAAGATCCTCTAAATAACCATCTAATTATATAAGTATTTTCTTTCAGATTTGCAGGTCACATGATTAAATTTAGGTACATTTTAAAAGAGAGAGAACATTTTCCAAGTTAATATACTATTTTCAAATATAATACCTAAGACCTCTATTTTCTGCAATATGAAAAAGTTAAATTAGAGAATTCTTAAATCTTTTCAGTTCTAATGTTTATATATCTCTATATATTTATTATAAAGACTTGGCTCATGAAATTGTGGAGGCAGGCAAGTTTCAAGATCTGCATGGTAAGTCAGTAACTTGGAGGACTTGGAGACGTAGGAGAGCTAATGGTTTAGTTCCAGTTAAAGCTCAAGGGCCTGAGAACCAGGCCTCCCATGGCTCCTATAAGCTGTCCCATGGTGCTTCTACCTCAACGCTGTCAGTCTTGAAACCCAGGGAAAGCAAATGCTTACATTTGAACCTAACGCCTGTGTTCCAGTCTAAAGGCATTCTAAAGGCAATCAGGAAGAATTCAAACTTACTCAGAGGAGGATAAGCCTTTTTACACTATTCAGGTCTTTTGATCGGTTGCATCAAGCTCCCCCACATTAGAGGTGGGTAATATGATTACTCTGTCCATGAATTTAATGTTAATTTCACCTCAATACAACCTCATGAAAATATCCAGAATAAAGTTTGACCAAATACCTGACCCCATAGCTCAGTCAAATTGACACATAAAATTAACCATCACAATCACTGCTACCACCACCACCGTCATTATCGTCATCAAAATAATAAAAATGCCATTAGAATATAGATTCCAAGACATGCTGTTATTGGAAATGTCTGTAATTCATTTATTGATTTAATGACAAGGAAAGACTTACTGGTGTTACATTTACAAGTACATAATATCTTTTCTCAGAAGAATTCTGCAGTGTGGGGCTTAAATATCAAAGTGATATATAAATTTTGCCTGATTTGTTTACAGATAGGCGGATTAGGAAGCTTCAATGCATGCTATGGTCACTCCATTTCTTACAAAAAAGGTAAAGCACACACACACACACTTTTTTTTCTAAAATGTAAGTCTACTTGCAGTTCTCTTTTAGTACTACATCCCATTTAATATGTTTGCCTACTTACTACTCTACAAAAATCAGACTGATTTAATTTAGTAGAAGACAAACTTTCTAGCCCCAACTCCCATTGTTCTGCTTTTAAATGTAACAGGAAACCAAAAACAAAATGCCATTTCCCATGCACTTATTTCCTTTTTGTAATAAAATGAATAGTGAGGGTCAATTATGTGTAGACCCTTGCTTTAGGGCAGACACTACAATAGTGAATAAGACAGACATAAAATTTCTGTCCTTATAGAACCTGCATTACAATCAAGCAGAAGTTTTATAACTCAGCATTATTGTGACAACATGCCCACCCCAATTTTGAGTTTCTCATGGGTATGTGGTTTCCAACCATTTCCTAATGTTCAATTCCAACACTACATACCTATTAGTCTGCTCAGACTGCCATTAAAAAATTCCATAGACTGAGTGATTAGGCAACAGAAAGATGTTTCTCACATTTCTGGAGACTGGGAATACAACATCTAGCAGCTGGCAAGATAAGTTGATATAAGGACTTTTTGTCTCACCTGGAATGCACTGCCATCTCACTGTGGGCTCACGTGACCTCTTCTCTTTGTGTCACATGAAAGGTAAGAGAGAGACAGCAAGCTCCTTATAGCCTATCCTTATAAGGACACTAATCTCATTATGAGGTCCCTACCCCAATATCTTTGTCTAATCCTAATTACCTCCCACTGGCCCTTTCTCCAAAAACCATCATATTGGGGATTAGGGCTTCAGCATATAAATTTTAGGGGGAAGCAAACATTCAGTCCATGGCAAATTACTTCATGAAATATTTCCTGATGCCTGTGGACATAAATTAAAGTCTCCCTGCAAAACACCTCTTTATGTCCATAATTTCTCCCAAAGAGATTGTAAATTTTTGTAGGATTATAAGAAATTATTTTTTCTGATACACTAAAAACCCCAGCAGGGACTCACATATATTATATATTCAATAAATATTACTAAATGAATAGTTTTTTTAAAAAAATCTCTAACAGAATCATTCTTAGGTGATTAAGAATTCTCTTTTCCATCCGGACTCATACCACATTTCATCTCATTGGCATCAGCCTCACAGTTTCCCAAAATAATCTGGATGTCATGATCTCTGTTTGGACTGCATTATTTGTATTGGCTTTCAGGCTTTTAAAGATATGCTGGCTTCCTTCCCTTCTGCTGTCTAATATCTTGAGCTAAAAATCTTTGTCCTAAGCTAAACCTTAGAACCATCTTTCTCAGTAGTTCTGAAACTGGATATCTAAGAGCAGGCATCATGATCCAGAGATTCTAATTCAATTATTTTGCTGAAACTTGGACATCACTTTATTGAACTTACACAGCCAAGTTTGGGTATCAAAAATCTTAAACAACTTTTCTGTATTATACATATAGAAGATGCATAATCTATTACAGTGAAGAAACTCAAGGTCAGAGATGTCAAGTACTTTGTGACGTGGAGGTTGGTGGGGGGATCACTCAGTTCATCTACTCAGTAAACTAAGTCTCCTGGTCTATATTGCTTTTTGACAAATTTATGCATTCTTTCTTTTCATGTTACCAAGTAATGCAATCCTCAGTCAATACTCACTGATGGCCTCACCGCATACATATTCACTACCTCCCAAGAGAAGAAACATATGATTTCCTGAACTTGCTGCAAGTTTCATTAAATGCATCAAACGCTCTTTGACCTGAGGAACAGCATATGTTACTAAGACAGAACTTAATGCCATTTTATAGTACAGAAGCACCCACTACTCCGGATTCTAAACAAGCTGGTCATAATCCCAAGCTCAGAAAAACCACATGGAACATCTCCACAAGGACAAGCCTGTGCTGGATTTTCTTTCTCTCAGGATGGCTGCAAGTGTTAAACAATGTAATCCATATAAAACCCTAAACAGAATGCTCATGAATTTTTTAAGGTTGTTCAATTAATAGTAACAATAATTATTATTATAAGATACTTTCACTTTTTCTATGATGATGACAAGTGACGTCTGTCACCTCTGATGGGAAGCAGAGTAAATGCACAATGCCCAGGTAGAGACAAGAAACACTTGCACTTAAAGGCTTTGAGAGACGGTACTAGAGACTTTAAATGTTGTTTAATGTTCACATTAAATTAATGTACTATGCTTTATTTGCTTTATTTTATAGATGAAAACACATCAGCTCAGAGAGGCTAAGTACCATACTTAATATCACATAACTAAGATGTTACAGATCTGTTTTAAGCATCAATTATGTATTGTCAAAGCTTATGTGATTTTGTCTATATGAGACTCTCATTTTTGTTACAATATTTTATGGACAAGGTCAGATTAAGCGCATGGGCACTGACATGGTTTGACTGTGTCCCCACTCAAATCTCATCTTGAACTGTAGTTCCCATAATCCCCATGTGACTTGGAAGAGACCAGGGTGAGGTAATTGAATCATGAGTGTGGTTACCCTCATGTCACTGTTTTCATAATAACAAGTCAGTTCTCACAAGACCTGATGGTTTTATAAGGGGCTTTCCCCCTTTTGCTTGGCACTTCTTGCTGATAAGTAATGAGGAGCCAAATGCTAATTGCCAAGACAATGGGGAAAATGTTTCCAGGGCATGTCAGACCTTTTCAGCAGCCTCTCCCATCACAGGCCCATTGGCCTAGAAGATAAAATGGTTTCCTGGGTGGTATCAAGGGCCCCTTCGCTGTGTGCAGCCTTAGACTTAGTGCCCTGCATCCCAGCAGCTCTAGCCATGGGTAAAAGGGGCCATGGTATAGCTTGGAGTTTGGCTTCAGAGGGTGCAAGCCCCAGCCTTGGCAGCTTTTACATGGCCTTGAGCCTGCAGGTACAGAGGAGTCAACAACTGACGTTTGAGAACCTCCACCTAGATTTCAGAGGATGTATAGAAAGGCCCAGATTTCCAGGCAGACGTTTGCTGCAGGGGTGGTGCTCTCATGAGAAAACCTCTGCTAGGGCAGTACAGAAGAGTAATAGGGGGCACTGCCTCATGGAGCTGTGAGAAGTGGGCCACTGTCCTCCAGACCTTAGAATGGTACATGCACAAACAGCTTGCCCTGTGCACCTGCAATAGCCACAGACACTCGAAGCCAGCTCCTTAAAGCAACCAGGAGGGGGTGCTGCACTATGCAAAACCACAGGTGTGGAGCTTCCCAAGGCTGTGGGAGCCCACCTCTTGCATCAGCATGACCTGGATGTGAGACCTGGAGTCAAAGGAGATCATTTTGGAGCTTTAAGATTTGACTGCCCTGCTGGATTTTGGACTTGCATGGGGCCTTTGGCCCCTTTGTTTTGGCCAATTTATCCCATGTGGAACGACTGTATTTTCCCAGTGCCTGTATCCCCGCTGTATCTAGGAAGTAACTAAATTGCTTTCGATTTCACAGGCTCATAAGTGGAAGGGTCTTGCCTTGTCTCAAATGAGATTTTGGACGTGGATTTTTGGGTTAATGCTGGAATGAGTTAAGACTTTGGGTAACTGTTGGGAAGAAGTGATTGTGTTTTGAAATGTAAGGACATAAGATTTTGAAGGGGGCAGGAGTGGAATTTTATGGTTTGGCTGTGTCTCCACCCAAATCTCATCTTGAATTGTAACTCCCACAATTCCTATGTGTCATGGGAGGACCAGGTAGAGATAACTGAATTATGAGGGTGGTTCCCCCATCCTGTTCTAGTGATAGTTAGTCAGTTCTCATGAGATCTGAATGGCTTTGGAAGGGGCTTTCCCCTTCAGCGGGCATTCAAAGCTTTTGTTATTTAATGTGTGCTGAATAAAGGCCAGAGAGGCCAGCGTGTCAGGGCCGCCGGCTGCTATTAACTCCTTTTAGTGAGTGGCCTGGACAGCCCAGCCTGCTCATTCACTGTATTCTGTGCTTGAGTATACATTATTCATCACTGAGTCGGGGTCTGCAGGACAGACGCAAACAGGTGGTGACCCCGACAGTGGTGCCCCACGTGAGGAAACCCAGCAGGTGCAGAGGTCACGGCAAGTGAACTCACCGTGACCATCACTGCAAAGGCAGCCCGACGGAGCCCTCAAAAACGAAGGTGCAAAGGACTGCACGGTGAATTCAGTAAACAGTGAGTAGTAATTATTTTAAAAATAAGGGGCTCCAGTGTTAGGTGCCTATATATTCAGAATTGTGATATTTTTCTGTTGGACAAGGCCTTTTATCATTATATAATGTCCCTCTTTGTCTTTTTTAACTGTTGTTGCTTTGAAGTTTGTTTTGTCTGATATAAGGGTAGCTACTGCTGCTCGCTTTTGGTGTCCATTTGCATGGAATATCTTTTTTCACCTTTTTATCTTAAATTTATGTCAGTCCTTATGTGTTAGATGTGTTTCCTGAAAACAGCAGTAACAGGGTTGGTGAATTCTCATCCATTCTGCCGCTCTGTATCTTTTAAGTGGACTATTTAGGCCATTTACATTCCATGTTAGTGTAGAGATGTGAGGTACCATTCTATTCACCATGCTATTTGTTGTGGGAATACCTTCTCTTTTTTTCATTATATCATTGTTATATAGGTCCTGTGAGATTTATGCTTAAGGAGATTCTGTTTTGATGTATTTTGAGGATTTGTTTCAGGATTTAGTGCTCCTTTAGCAGTTCCTATAGTCCTGGTTTGGTAGTGGTGAATTCTCTCAGCACGTTTTTTGCCCGGAAAAGACTATCTTTCTTTCATTTATGAAGACTAGTTTCACTGGATACAAAATTCTTGGCTTATAATGGTTTCGTTTAAGGACATTAAAAATAGAACCCCTATCCCTTCTAGCATGTAGGGTTCCTGCTGAGAAACCTGCTGTTAATCTGATAGGTTTTCCTTTACAGGTTACCTGATACTTTTGGCTCACAGCTCTTAAGATTCTTTCCTTCATCTTGACTTTGGATAAGCTGATGACTATGTACCTAGGGAATGATATTTTGCGATGACGACCAGAGATAGAAAGAGTCTTGTTACTGTGGGAAGGAGATAGGCTTCTTAGCAGACACTTAGGAATATAGAATTGTAGGTGATCCTGAAATCTCAAGCACCTTTTTTCCCACAAAGGCAAGTCTAGTAAAGGCCTTAAGTGCCAGGTGGTTCACTCATTATGTGCCATGTAAACACTTTTATTAAACATTTACTTGCAGTTTTATCATATATTCATTTATAATAGCGAAAGTAATGTTTTATCAATGCTCTTAAGACATTCTACAAATCTCAAATTCCTGCAAAAATAAAGAAACTGAGTTTTTAAACATATATGCCAGAATTTATGCATGTATGCTATGAATTTTGTTGTTTTCATGGCATAAAATAAAAGTATAATACTTACTCTTTAGAGTCTGCGTGTTATGCAAAGCCCTTAGTTTTAGGTTTATATAACAAATGTCTTAGTTAACCGTAGTTGTAAAGATTACTGCCTTTATAGAGTACTCCATTCCTGGTGTCTAAGAACAGTTAGATTATATTTTAAAAAGTTCCACTAACAAAACAAACCACTTGGGTTACTTCACTACATGCTTCTGTCTGCCCCTTCCCAAATTATTCCATTCTCCCCCAAGGCTCTTTCTATCAACGATCTTCTAGCTTCTTTGAATGCAGCTTCCCTGACTTCTCAAACTTTATAATTTCCTTCTCAAAATGTAAGGCGTGGTCAGGCACGGTGACTCACATCTGTAATCCCAGCACTTTGGGAGGCTGAGGCGGGTAGATCACACGAGTTCAGGAGTTTGAGACCAGCCTGACCAACACGGTGAAACTCCATCTCTACTAAAAATACAAAATTAGCCATGCATGGTGGCGCATGCCTGTGTTCCCAGCTACCTGGGAGGCTGAGGTCGGAGAATTGTTTGAACTTGGGAGGTGGAGGTTTCTATGAGCAGAGATTATGCCATTGCATGCCAGTCTGGGAAACAAGAGCAAAACTCTGTCTCAAAAAAAGAAAATAAGGCCCAGTTTTGTGCCTGTAGGACTAGTCCTGCCCTCTAAGTTGAATGAAATGTAGCTTTGCAATTAGTTCCAGAGTCTTAATACTTAACGCTAAATGAAATTTAGAGCATGACATCTATCCTTTGTGTATTTCAATACCGTCAATACCATTGCACCCAATGTATATGGCAGATTCTAAATTGAGAAACTTCTAGATGAAGAAAACATGAGCCCCTGTAATACATCTGTGATAACTCAGACATCACTGCTAAAAGCTAATCATGGTCAGAGAATGCAGGGGTAGGGAGCGAGGCCACTTAGAGGAACAGAATGCACCATATTACATACGTATTTTCAGCCGTAGTAAATAAGGCAGCAGATTTCAGCCTGTATTGCAAACAAGGATCAGTGAAAGAAGAAACATAGATAGTATGGTTTTTAAATAAAAACCATGTCATGTCACCCCTCATTCCTCTTGCTGGTACCACTGTCATGCTCCCTTTTACAGATTGTATTTATTTAAATGTCTTTAATTTTAATTTGGTGCAACTAATGAGACAGGAATACGAGAGGCCAAGGCATCAGGACAATTGAAGGTTGACAGTATAAAAGCAGGAGAAAAGCATTTTGACCTTTCCTGCCTTAAAATTCTCTAATCAGGAAGCTTAGAATTCCAGGCCCAGAGATGGCCTAGTGTTAATTGCGTTAGAGTTATGGGTGGGTGCAGCATCTGGGAATACACCTCTGAACTGTGCCCTTAAGTCGTTAGTAGTGTTGTTGGTGGTGGTGGTGGAGAAAATGATTGATTAAGAAACCACTAATCATCCGAGAAAGGTAAATCAAAGCCACAATGATAATACCACCTCACTCCTGTTATAATGGCTATTATCAAAAAGATAAAAGATAATGTCTGTTGATGAGAATGCAAAGAAAATGGAGCCTTTGCACACTGTGGGAATATAATTAGTAGAGCCTCTATGAAAAACAACATGAACATTCCTCAAAAAATTGAAACTAAAACTATCATTTGATCCAGCAATCCTACTGCTTTCTATATATTCAAATGAAATAAAATCAGTATGTGAAAGAGATACGTGCACTCCCATGTTCACTGCAGCACTATTGACAATAGCCAGGATATGGAATCAGCTTAAGTGACTGTCAACTGATGAATGGATACAGAAAACCTGTGGGGGGTACATGTGTGTGCACATATTATATACATATGTACATACAATAAGCCAGGCACATACAGACAAATAGCACAGGATCTCACTCATACGTGGAAGCTAAAAAAGTTAATTTCATAGAAAGCTGAATGGTGATACCAGAGGCTGGGGTGTGTAGGGGAGAGGATCAAAGATACATATTTCAAAGTATAAATAATTACAATTAGAAGAAATAAGTTCAAGAAATCTACTGTATAGCATGTGACTACAGTTAACAATGATACACTATATTCTTGAAAAATGCTAAGTGTGGATATTACATGTTTTCACCACACAAACATGACAACTGTGAAGTAATGAATTTGTAAATTATCTCAATTTAGATATTCCACAGTATACCCATTCTTCAAAATATTATGCTGCACATGAGAAACACAATTTGGATACAAAGAAGAAATCAGCTACTGAAGCAGGCTTTTCATTTTGGAGATGTTCAACGGGCCTAGTTTAGAAAGGCAAATGTTGGAAGACTCTACTGTTTTCTCTACCTAGGCAAACTAGTGAAAAGGATGAGAAGCTAGGAAGAGAAATTGAGCCCCAGTTTGCTTGTGATACCACTGAAGCTGTGAGTGTCGTCTCTCATAGCATCAATGGCAGGATGTTTACAGTAATAAGCAACTGGTCACTGTGTTAGGTCTGTCCATCTGGAAGGGGACAGAGGCAAACCTAGTTTCCTACCCATCGTGCAGAAAAATGACCTGTGAGAGCTCAACTGTGCCAAATCGAATCTCCTCAGTCCCTACCAGTCCAAAAACCCCATAACCCCAACAAAATTTGCATTCTTCATATTCAACTACAATTCCAAAACAAGTTTTCTTAGCCCCCACTTTCAAACAGGTTGTTTGAAAAATTTGTGTATGGAAAATCCATTACATTCACGGTTCTCAACCCAATCATAAAAATTATCCAAGCATCAAAAATAACGCCATCAACTTTGAACAAGAGACTGTTTCCCCTAGTCAGTCTCATAAACATGATTAAAGATCTGAGCTGATGAGTTAATTTATTGTTCAAATGTTACTCACTCATAAATTTATACTAAACCAATCTGGGCCCAACAATGATAATGTTTTGACTGTAAATTCACCTTCCTTCATTATTTTATCCTTGGCTTTGTTGCATATTATCAAAACAAGTTGGCTGGTTTTCCTTTCCCTGGGGATGACAGCAGAGAGAGAAACTGCCAAACAAAATAAAATTTTAGAGGGCAGTCCATCACAGCTTCTAAGAAGTCGCAAAGTTTATTAAGCTTAAATATTCAATACAATAGTTGAAACCCATGGTAAACTGGTGCACTTTTGTTTAATTGTATTTGATTATTCTTGTGATATTAATTTGAGGATCATAGATGTTGCAATTTGCTATTGAAGGAGCATTTTATCCTCTAAGAAAAGTGACTTGGAATTAAGAATATCAAAGATAATTTGTTCTGAGCTCACATATAAGAGAGAAGCATTTGGTTTAATTCATATCCATTTTTCCCTCAAAAAGACACATACCTTTTCCTCCTATCTTCCATAATAATCTTCTATTCTAAACATTATTATTTAATAAGTTAAGTTAAAGATACTCTGTAATTGTACATATTACTTTAACAATTCTTAATGAAATAATCGTCATTCACTGATAATATTATTTTCTTCCTGGCTACCAAGAATGAGAATTATTCTATAATGTTTCACAAAAGTTATTTTCTCCACATGTTGTTTTTCTTTTCAGTAATATACTCAAATTATATCTCAATTACTAGTTATTGCATACTAGTTAGTCTATATGTTTGCTATAGTAGTAAGCTGATTGGGAAAAAAGTGAAGATAGAACTTTTACTCATTATTTCAATTTTCCTTGTCATAGTAATTATGGTTATATAATTACTAGACTGGCTTTTGAAGGATGAACAACAGTGTTTTCTATTTTAAAACAGTTCTTTACAGA